AAAATGCCCCCACTTCCACAAAAATTAGAATTACAAAAAACGCCTAAAACAACTTGTAGATAATGACATAACGTATCGAATGATATGTGTCTCGATGTTGTAGCTTGAAAATCCTAGAAGATTTCTAAAGTACCCGCTTTTTCCGTTTTCTAAAAATTTCACGTTTTCTTTCATTTTTTCGAAAAATTCTCATGAACAGAATGCGAGTTTTTTTTTCATTTTACATAAGTGTACCAAGTTTCAAAGTGATCCGTCGGTAAAAAGCCGAGATAAATTTTAGGGCAGACGCTCCCCTTAATTTACTTCCATTGTGAATCACTCTATATTTTCGAATTGGTTCATTACACCTGACTAGATGATACGACTCTTCTAAACCGAAAGCGTAAAAACATTGGGTATTCAACATTGAATTCACTAATAAGAAATTAACTAAGTGTTTTAATCGAACAGTGGTTCAAAGCAAGCGTGTTAATACCACAGGGAAATATATGTCTTTTATCATAGTCACCATTCAGAGCAATCTTATTTATCTCCTTCAAATACAATTTATAGTTAACAATTTGGATTTTATACATTGTTTTGCACATAGTTTCATTATTCTAAGCTCTCTTATATTCATTCATGATTGTGTTCCTTTCAATGACAGTTATGTTGTGTTCCTTGACAGTTCTTACTGGATGTTATAGAGTAAGGCGGGATTGGTGAACAATAGATTTGCTCTATCACCTTATTTTTCTTTTATGAAGTTATAATGAAAATCATTTATCAATGCCTTGCTTACTGTATAAGAGTATCTAAAATGCTCTTCCATATAAAGATTGTTTTTTTTTCAAATTTTAGCATTTGTTTATGAATGTGACAGGCTATATAATTTCATAAATTTTTGTTTAGTCTTAACCAAATTAACTTCAACCCTATTTTTTATTTTCTCCATCGTTTTCCCGATTACAGAATTGTCAGTGCTATTTATTAAACGCCACCTGAGGATCGGGATACGTGATTAAGGCGTGAGTTATAAGTGATACACATCTGTCTAGATAAAATATCTTGATACGGGGTGGTAATACATGTGTGTTGTACGATACAGGTAGAGGCTACGGCGTCGACCGTAAGGTCGGAGAACTATAATGACGCGAATTACATCGCGGAGCTCTTATCAACTACTAAGGATTGTCTTACTAAGGTTCCCAGCCCTTTTATACAGGGTCCGCCATATTTATGGCAACGCATGTTTTTTGTTATTTCTCAATGAAACAAACAGGTGCCTGTTTTTTTTATTGGATGAGCTAGTAGCCAAGAATTACCTAAACAATTCTCAGACATATTTATTCAATATGACAACCCTAATCATTTTTGATGACGGCCTCAAATCTACGCGGGTAAACTTCATAGGAGACACGCAGCATTTCTTGAGGGATCAAGTCCCATTCTCGTGTCAATTTAGACTTCAAACTATCCAAAGAATCATGAGGTGTTCTGCAGACCCTACTCTCTAAAATAGCCCACACAGAAAAGTCGAGAGGATTCAAATCAGGGCTTCTTGAGGACCATTCATTTTTGCTAATGAACGCTGGGATGTGACCCTGAATCCAGTTTTGGTCATGTTGGAGCCATGTGATGGGGGAGAGTCTTGTTGAAAACTCCATGGTGAGCCGTTGAAGTGTTTACGGGCCCAAGGTAACAACACAGCTTCCAAAATGTCCGAAATGTATCGCTGACTGTTCAATTTCACTCCTGATGGGACAAATCGTGATGGTTTGGCTTACCGCGGCCCAAACCATCACGGGCATAGGATTTTGACGTCGTACTGCTGTTCTGGTTATCACAGATCCATCCCGACTCCAAACTCTGTCATTTTTACGGTTAACGCTTTGTTCAATGTAAAATTTTTTCTGGTCACTCCACACCAAGTTGGGCAGCGTGCCATCCTCAATGAGATCCAGAATGTGCTGGAATCTTTCGAGCCTCATTCGTTCATGCCGGTCTGTTAGTTCATGCCTTGTTTGCATCTTGTAAAGGGAGGTTCTGAAGTCATCTCTTTCCACACAGTTTCACGACGAATTTGGAGCTTTTTTGCAATGACTGAATTACTCACGCCCTTTTCATGAAGGGTTACAATTGCATTTCTATCTACTGCCATAAGTAATAGTAACTTTAGACTCCTTAGACTTCTGCAATATTAAATAGATGAATTAATAGATGATATTAGGCTTCATTATAAAAAAGTCTGCTAGAAACCAATTTATTTTTGTATAGCAAACATCTGTTGCCATAATATGGCGGACCCTGTAGAATCGCGGCTTCCGCCCACAAATAAAGTCATGATCGCATGATCTATCACGTGATGTCGTCTAGACACTGACTAAGGTCTAGTCATTTTTCATCAATCTACATCAGGTCAAGTGAATATTACGTCTCAATTACATATGATGTAATCATATAATATAATTATAATGAATATAATGAGACGCCGGATTGACACCGGAAAAATATTCATTAGCTTGGAGAAATCTGCAGCGAAATCTGATTTCGCATGTTGTATTTTTGTGTTCAGAGTTGTCCTTTGTTTTTAGATGTAAAGTAGGCCAAACCTGAAGTAATTTCAAATAGAGCCAGAGTTAATTATAAATGAATTCTGATATAATAGCTATTTATCTCAATTAATTATCAACACTAGAACTATATAAAGTGATAGGCAACCTGATTAACCTTTCACAGCACACACAGCACCAGACAACTTAGTTTTAGGAAAAACAGAGAGGCCCAAACATCATTAGCCACATTTCAGGAAACACTCAGCATTCACTTTGCACCACGACACACTACAAAATTAACATAGTATACTCCGTGATGTTACCAAAGCCTTCGACAAGATTTTGCTCACCGGACTCCAATACCAAATTATACAACTCAATCTACACTAGTCCTTTACTAAAATACTAGTTTACCACATCACCGAATAATAGACTACCTCACTGCGTCCATCAGAGTAGGCAGTCACATAGGTCAACAACTCTCTCAGGTGTCCCTCCGAGAGGCATGCATCTCACCCACTCTCTACAGCTTATACTTATCTACATCCACGACTTCCCGCCATCACTAACGTAGATTTCATATACGAAACATTTTCTGATGACATGACAAAAACACCACATGACGTCACCCACGCAATTAAGCACCAACACAAACACAACACGCATTCCAATAGATTCGAAAATAAATAGCTAATTAGGACAAACGCCTACAAGTTCAAAATCATCCAGATCTGTACGCGTAACATATCTAACGTATTAATTGACAACACTCACTACGCATCCACAAACAGAGGAACAGTCCTATGCTGTTCTTTGCATCACAACACGGTTTTTGTATTCAAATGACATCCAGAGAAGCAAAAGCTCTCATAAACCTACAAAATACATAGATACTACTTTCTCCCTCCCAACATAGAGCGTACCCAATCGGGTACGTTCCTCCCCCAACGTACCCAATCATAAAAAGCGATCATCTCTCTTTTAACTCCAATATCTTTGCACACCCTATCCAGAGCATATATGTCCCAACTGCCAACAGACATAAACAAAGCACAAAGATGCATCACAAACACATATTGTTCCGATTTCATACCTTCATAAACAATGCAACATTCACAACAATTCTCCGCCAACAAGTGCGCGAAAGTCCACAATTGGATCCTGTGGTCTCGCAGCTTTCCAGTTAATTCATTCCCTCCAGTCGCAAAGCAATATAGCACTTACTGTATCAGAGTTCCAAACTACGAACACTAGCTCACTCTCCCCTGTATAACTTGACCGTAGTAAACGATACCCTATATAACCACCTACACGACGGAACACGTTGCACTTGCTGGTGTAATGATCGCGTGCAGTTGTCCTGATTACGATTACGAATGCCAATCCGTTCAAAGGCACCCTGAGCTTTTAACGTCTATTAAAGTTTCGTTTTAATATTATACCAAAACAATAATTTATTTAATTAAATGAACACTGACCAAATTGTAAATCACGTTTCATTGTTTTAATCTCACACTTCTCTCCGTTTTCAAATGATCATTATTCTACCATTGAAATTAAAATTTTCCGGTAATATCCTGAAACTCTACACAGAAAGAAATTTGCTCGTTGAGCGTAGACAGCTAACGTATTTAAATGGATGACCAATTCTAAACGAACCATTCTAAGTATTCTTACAAGCCTAAAAATGTTCGTCCGCCGTTTTCGTCTTTTATTGATAAAACTTTCGCGCAGGCGCAGTCACCTGGCGGAAGGCGTCATTGCAGGACATAAACATAAACTCTGAATTTGCCACCAAGTTTAATTTAACACACATAATAAATTTTTTTGCCTGAAATATCAACGTTATAGTAGAGAAAATATAATAAGTTGAAGATGTAATGCAATGTGTGATTAAACGCACTTACGACATTCACATGCTTTGTAGTTATGGCGGTTTTGACAAAAAGCCTCTGATTGTGACTTCCACCTCTGAAAACATTCACATGCTTTCAGAGGCGGTTTTGAAGTGATTAGATATGAAACGTACAGCGGTTCGATTACAGTCGTGTTATTGCTGCGCCAAGAACTTATTCATTATTTCAAATAATGTATGTAGAAGGTGTGCCAAATGATTAACCTAGAGCTTATGATATGCTAGACGTGTTTTTAGCAAAATAAGTTACATAACAATTCTACTTATTCCAACTAAATCAAGTATTAATTGGCGGTGCAAGGAATGCTTGAACGTCAACACCTCGTACAACGTCGACCAGTTCTTCATGCAACAAGTTATGCAACCCTGCGATAGCACGCCAGCTGCAAGTGGTGATGGTAGATGAGGGTAATTTTAAACTTTACAGAAGTTTAATAGCTCCTACTCTGAAGAATAGCAGAAATAAATGATATCTAGAAAATGTAGTAACACAAGTGCCTTTCATAAAGTCATGATGCAGAAAGTTAAGTTGAATAGCTTATTTCCACCGCCAGGCTTACAACAACTATACTCACAAACTTATAGAAAATTATTTTGAATGTCCAAGTCACGTAATTGATAACTTTCGGATCCATCAATAAACTAAAAAGAACTTTGTTATGACCCTTTCATTTCATATAATACAGATTTTTGTCAAGATAGGCTTTGCACAGCGCTACCGAACGATTGCTGCGAAGAATGACAATGGTGAGAAATACAATACTCAATATAAATTACAGTAGGAATTATTTTTCAGCAATTATTACTTTCTGTCGTTTGCAAGCAATTTCTTCGCGCCGTATATCGTTGAAGCATTAATTCAACAATAGAAAAGAAAATAAATCATATACGATGTAAGAATTTAACTCAGACATACAAGTTCATACCGTAAGAAATGTGTTTATGTTAAAAACTTTTATATGTCCCAAATTTATGTAATCATAATATTGAGACCAAAGCTGCAAGAATTCGACGATTTGAAACAATATCGTTTGATATAGTATTTTTTATGTCCGAATATGCGAGGCTCCATAAATTCCTCACAAAAGTCTTAAATCGCCGCAACGAGCAACGATATCTCACTGAGCACCTTCCCGACTTAAACTTCCTGTCTCTGCAGTTACTCGTCACACCATGCAAAACAGTGTGTATAGGTGCTTGTTAGTGCAGGCAATGTCGAACGACATCATTGGAGTGCCTCCCACTCCCATACACACTTCATTTCCCATGTTTGGGTTGCCGGGGGACCATTTGAATCCATAGTTGCTTGGCAGGACCATGGCTTGGTTGCTTGAAGCGTAGGTGCCGTCAGTCTGGCGTTTCAGGTCCACGTAGAACCATGGGAGTTTCCTGATCGTCAAAATGGCACGGTCCTGGAACAATCGAAACCAATTAGAGATTGTGAGTGTCTGATACCTTGAGCGAGAGGCCATGGAACAGGATGATCTCGTGAGCTCGATTATTCTCAAGATAAATTATGTAAACAGAAATTGCAAACAAAATTGTATTTTTGTTTCGATACAATAATTGCAAAATTACAATTGTAAACAAAAATGATCTAATTATTCACGAAATGCAAATAAAAACAATACCAAAAAATTAATATCAATCGTTAACCTAGTTGCCATTGTTCTCAACAGAGCCAATCATCTAATGAACTTGGGTGCCAAAGGATTTCGTTGTCAGACGCGTTGTCGTGATTGGGTCTAGCAAAGTTCTGATCTCTTGATGGTTTCTGTTAATTTAGCGCTGTTAGGGCTCATTCTATAAATAAATTATATAAAAATAATGCAAATAAGCGGCCTCAGACATTTACGCATTGTTGTGTTGTAATAATTATCGCCATTAAGAAGATAAATAAAACTGAATCAATGGGCAAAAAATAATAATTAAAACAACCTATCAATGAATACAAAAGCCAAAATAAAAAAAACAATCGTGCGCTTTCTTTAGGCCGACTGCAAAAATTACCTAATCAAATCTTTATTTCGGAATTTTTCTCTGTGCTGGAATTGCGCATTTGAATAACAAGGTACTGTATAACAGTTTCCTACGCAAAGTCACGTCAGTGGTGACTAAAAACATAAATAATAAATTACTAATCTACTATTTACAAGAACAGTACTTCCCCTTGCTACACAGCTACATAAGCACTGGACATTGGAATCGGTTTCACACACGACCGAACAATTTCCCGTTAACAAGTCCCCACTAACCCAGCAAACAATGTCAGGTTGATTCAACGTTGAAACAACAAAACTCGCGACGTTGAAATAACGTTGAATATTAGTTTAGAATGAAAGTAGAAGCAACGTCATTTTTTCAACGTCTTCCATTTCGACGCTGTTTCAACGTTAAAATCGCGTTGACAGCTGACGGCAAGATCGCGAATATCTGTGTGCGATTTTAAAGTCAGAATTTTACGCATATAAAATTCTGTAAAGTCAGAATTCAATGGTGTATCTCTCTATACTGTAGCTTGAAAATAATAGGTAGAGATAGATTTTTAAGATGATGTATTTATGGAAATTTTAATGGTTCAGGGGAGTCAAATAGGTAAAATTTAACAAAATAAGAAGAATTTAAACAAAAAGGGCCTTTATGTTGTAGCGCAAGCTTTCCCATTGTCAATTAGTCGCATTCAAGGTACCAACACGCTTCTTTAGACTTAACCTTCTCTAGTTTAACGCGAATAACAAGCTATAAATGTGACATTTCTGATATTTTTATTCATACAAAAAGTTCATTTTATTCAAGTTCAAAACAGCCTAAAGCAAAAAAACACTGCATGTAATTCCGTGGTATTTAATTTTTTGAACGCGCATCGTTTGTAGCTTTCAAACGAGTGCAAATACTTTGCAATTAACGCTAATAATGATCTATAAATTCAAATTTTCAAGTAATCTTTGTCTATTTTGTTTAAAAATTCTCATTTCTTATAACTATGGAACTGCCTTACGCAAAAACTGAAAAACAAACATACATACGGTTTGTTAAATTAAAGTTAAACGCGCCTTTTTTTGCAGCCACAAAAGGAACTTAAATCTAGCTTAATTAACACAAATAATAATCTATAAATATTTTTCTTTAATAAATATTTGTATATATTGTTGAAAATTGATAATTTTATATAATTTTTAAACTCCCTCGCGCAAAAACTAGGGTACATGCGGTTTGCTGCGCTAGGCGTGCCTTATCCGCAACTACAAAATGAGCCCAATAAATATTAAATATATTTCTGATTTAATATGAATAAATAATAGGACCATGATTTTCACATGTTATTTTGTCAGAAGTTTTTTTACCCGCAAAAATAACAGTAAGAAAAAGCACGTAAGTTTAGTGACTGAAGAATCCATTGACGTATCCTTGTTATTCCCGTAGGATCTTATGGCGCTGTGGGGAAGAAGAAGGTTTAATATAAGATTAAATATATTCATAATTATGGATATATTCAATATTATATCAAACATATTATTATTTGTTATGATTTGTAAAATTATAGCAAAAGAGCAAAACTTGAATTTTCTTGAAGCCATGGAATTGTGAAGCCATCGAAACATTATTCGTGTTTTGCTGTAAGTAGATTTGAGCAATAATTTTCATCTTAATTAAATCGTATTGACAGCAATGATTTCAAGTGAGTTTTGAACAAAAATAGTTATAATCATCGTGATCAATAATTCATGGTGCGTTCGTCACGATAATTTTCCATGTTATTTACACGCCAAAATCAAGATGTCGTGAGGGCTGATAAGCCTAAACTCATCAGACCTCTGCTATATAGACCTCCTCACAGCACGTAGAACGATCTGTACCTACACATCACAACACCTACAGGCCTCTGCTAGACCTCCTCACAGCACGTAGAACGATCTGTACCTACACATCACAACACCTACAGGCCTCTGCCAGACCTACTCCCAGTACGTAGAACGATCTGTACCTACACATCACAACACCTACAGGCCTCTGCTAGACCTACTTGCTTGAATCACCTACTCACTCGCATGCTTGAATCAAATGATTATAATGAATTTATGAACAGAAAACATTCCACAAAAGTTCATTATATCCTTATAGAAACCATTTCGGAGTCAAGCTCCATCGACAGTTCAAAAATTTTAGGAAGCAGATAACTGTAAGTAGAGTCGAAATACAGCGAGGTTGTTTTCGGGCGCGATAGTAGGAACGTTGTTTATTGTTCTTTTCCATACTCCGGCCCAGCACCCGAAACTATGTAAAGAGAATTAAAAGTTTTGTTCAATATATTTTCAAATGTGAATCTTCATCTGTTGTTGGTAAATAATTTAAAATCAATTTTTTTAGATACAAAGATATTCTCCAAATTCATTAGCAATCATCCAGGTTTATTAATACGTTTGTGGTGCACGATGCATATTTACGTACTTTGGTATGACGTCAGGCAATTTTTTTAAGGATGTGATTTATAAAGGGAGCCATAAGACAGCCATCTATTATCGCGTCCCCCTCATTCGGCTGTGCGGACTCACGACGAAGCGTGCCACTTTCCAATATCTAGTGGTGACTGTAATGTTTTAGCTTCTACTTTCAATGCTGCCGATTTACATATTTTATAATCCGTAAATATTTTGGTCGGTCGGTTAATATTGGGCGCCACTGCTTGATGATGATGTTGGTGGGTTCCTCCAGCATAGTGCGAGCGACTGTCTTGAGAACTTGTCTCATGCGGTTCCTCGGTCATCCAGACTGATGATGGCATGTATTACAGTCTTGATGGCGTAGTTGATAGTCCAATTACTCCAATGCAGCCCAAATGATGAAGAAGTCTACAACCTTCTTTGAAGCAAAATTAACGGACTACATCGGCTTCTTGGCGAACTCCCGTTTTTTTTTTTCAGGGGCAGTTGTTGCGCTTAGTCCGGAGCTCGACGTTGTTGTCAAGAGTATCACCAAGCCAGTTTAATTCATCGATGATCATGAGATTTACAGATGTCTTCTATTTGTAAACTTGGTTTTTAATTGATTTTTTTAATTTCGACAGTGCTAACAAATTATTGTATCTGAAGTCTAGAATTTTCGAGCTGACGATGGAGCAGGACTCCGAAACGTTTTCTATGAAGATATAGTGAACTTTTGTGAGATTTTCTTTGATTTAAAATGTTAAATTACTATTGCTTCATTGAGGCATGTGATTATTACTGCATTTTAACACATTACCATTGATGCACTATAACAATAATTGGAGTGAATTAAGGCGGCTATTAGGAAAATTGTGAATCGGAAAATATATTTGGTGTTTTTTTCTGACCAGGTTCAAAACAGTCCAAATTATAGCAGTACTCATACAATTAAGTAAATACCCTGTTGGTCAGCGGGTACGAGACGAGTTTCATGTTGAGGCTCTGGCACTTCTGGGTCGCTTCCCTGAAACAACACAAAATGATATCTCAGCGCGTGGAAATCGCACTGCCTGCATTGAAAAATTTAACATGTACCGAACTTGTCAATTAAAATAAAATCATTATCACTAATAGCATGAATTGTAGCGTTCTTATGAAATTAGTGGGTTTCATGGCTCATTACAAACTATTTTAAGGAACTATCAATTGTTTTAAATAATTTACACGGAGTATTTTTTCTTTACGGCCACTTCTGAGATTGGTGTAACTTTCAATTTGATTTATTTGTTGCTATGCTAATTAATAAAAGTCGCCGCCGTATACACAGCATATTATTTATGTTTTCTCCTAATTGTCCGTGAAAAATTTGTCCAGGCTTATAAACTACAGCTTTGCGATTCAAACAAACAAATGAAATTCAAACAAATTGACATGAAACCATTCCCTGTTTTTAATTAATAAAATCAATTCTCCTTTTTTTTGGAATGGTGAGTGTGGGAGGCCTTTTCTAAAAAAATAAAAAATAAAAAAAAAATAAATAAATAAAAGCATGAGAATTTCAGGGGCTTGTCGCGTTTAGCCACGTCTAAGCGTTAACATTTCTAACCAAACATCATTCCGATACATACTTGATACTTCAAAATCAATAATTTTGTTGGTGTAGTTGTGGTGGCACTAAGAAAGTGAGGGGGAACCAACATATGGTACAGAGTGGCCAGGAGGAGGAAGAAGAAACGACAGAGGTGAAGAAAACAGGTGCAGAGCACGTAACTGGATTTATTGTAGGTGCGTGGAATTTAGTTAGGGTGGGGATGAGTGTGAGCGAACTTGTCACAGCTTTAGATATTTTACACGTGAGGCGTGAAGGGTGAATTGTTGTTCAACATTTTTAGTACTTACACCAATTTCGCGTTTTTAATTTTCCGCGTTTATTAATTTTTTTCTTACTCATAAAGTAAATAGGTGTTTATAATAATGATAATTAAAAAAGTGAAGGTAATAAATGAGTTGTTTGAGGCTCATGAATTAAGTTTGGGGAGTCATTTGTTGGATTTGTGCTGGGTCATCAGTCTCATCTTAACCGCAATTCGCTTTAGGTGGAGTTCGTCTGTCCGTTGTTTCGATCGAGATAGCTGCACCAGTGGTCATTTATTCGACAACTGACGACCAAAAGTGTATGTGGTTAGGGAGTGCAGAGTTAGTGATATCATTTACAAGAATGGAGGTGTGGGACTAGGTGCCAGTGTTTTGGAGCTAAAGAATGACAGGAGCTACCTTGCTATATGGCGTCTGGAGGGCGTATGAGGCCAGTGTTATAGTACATGAGTAGCGGCACCGAGATAAGAGTAGTTCACCATAGGGTCAAGCCTTGGGAAGCTCAATTAATTTCTTGTGTCGTTAGTGGGTGGCGCTTGGTAGCCGTCGTTGGTTGTGCTTTCAGCATGGCCTTGAATTGCTGTCGCTTTCCAAATTCTGAGTTCCTTCTTATCGGGAAAATCTTGAGTGTATGCAGTAAGTCTTGAACGATTAGCTGCGACATATGTTTTGACGGTAGACCATGTTTTGCGAATTTGATGAAAAACTCTATTTCTATAGTGGGAATATTGCATTTTTGTGAAATGTGCGTGAGGTTATGAAGTCGCACTTGTGTGTATTTCAAATGAATCGTTATGCTCTGTTTTGGACTTTTTGGAGTTTTTATATGGAGTTTTTTCAATATAATGTAAAAGTATTGGTGGCATTTCAATGATGATCAAACAGAAGTGAGATACAAAGTGCGTTGACTGTTCAAAAGGCGATGATAAAACTTTTTTTTTTGTCAAGGCAATCTCCTAGGCAATCTCCCTTACAGATGAGAGCTAAATTCGTGTGGAGTAAAATGTAATAATCCCAAAACTAATCCAGTCCTTATGAGCCATTTGTCTTCGAATACTTTGATATGTTGTAAGGCGTGTAGTGTTTATACTGCAACGTAGATGTGTGGGAAATATTTTTCGGTTATTTGTGTTACCTCACCAGAAAATGCTATGTAAGTTGTGTTAAATAGTGGTTGTGGGAGGGCGTGGATGTAAAAGCTGTAGAAAGTTACAGAGAGGTATGCCCCTCGAGGGACACCTGCTTGGAGTTGGAGTGCGAGACCTATGTGAGTGCTAATTCTGAAGGAAGCTATTCTGTCCATGAGTTAGTCAGCTAGTGTTTTTGTAAAAAACGGAAGTAAGTGAAGTTTAATGATATTGCATTGTAGTTCCCAGCGCCAATTATTATCAAAGGCTTTGGGCACACGGCGAAGTACTGTGTTAATTACAATGTAACGTTATTCAAGGCGTATGGCTAATGTTTCGTCGAATGTGGCTAATGCTGAGTTCTTAAATTCCTGCGGAGTTCTTTTGTGGTTCCTAAAATCCTGTTGTGTGTGTTGTGAATGGTGAGGTGTTTGTATATAATGTTTTATCCAAGTGCTTCCCGTGGATATCTCAATAGTAATAATATGCGTTCAAAAATTACTTTTTAAAGACAACACTTCTAAAGAGGCCAGTGTATCTGCTGTTTCACATGTACAATGATGTTCTTATTTTATTTTTAAATATTGAAAAAAATTATTTTTTCAATTTTTTTAATATATAAAATTTTTTTATTTATAAAATTACTTATTTTGTCCATTGATTCATGCATTGTCTCCGACTTTATGCAAGTCTGCAAAAGTTTAGATCGATTGGACAGGTAGACGCGTGCTAAATATCGATTATAAGATTTGTAGCAGACAAATAAGAAGTGAAGTTAATTAAAGAGAAGTGTTGTAACAAAATAGATCGGTAGTTTGGACTTGGTGTTGTGACGTCACCGTTTAACAGCAGGAACATGATGGCGTGTTCTAGTGAGTCAGTGCAATTACCAGCGCAGATAGTCTGAATGAATATCTGTAGCAGGTATGGATCATGTTTAGGGGTCGGTGATTGAGTTGGAAAGCTGCGATGCCTGCGGGACCAGGTGCTTTCTGTTTAACTATTTTTAGTGTGTGCAGTAGTTCTCTAATGGATATGGATCTGAAGTCAATGGGTGGAATAACGTAAGATTGCCATTGTCGTGTTGGTGAATGAGATGTATGTTGTTGTTTACGTGGGTGCATTCGGTGTCTAAGTATCCGTTGTCTGTGTCGTTCTATGTGAATATGTCCTGACAGTGTTTGCAGAGGAGCATTTTTTTTCTGGGGTGTCGTGTTGTTTGTGTTTCTGCACAAGTTGTCTATTAAGTGATAGTGATGTGCCAATCAGTGTTAATTTATTGAAGAAGAGCTTGATATTGTGCTTATAAAGTAATGTTTTGAGAGTGTTTGAATATAAAGCGATGTACTATGGTGGAATTGAGATATCGATGGCGTTCTGTACGTGTTTGGTTAAGATGTATAAGTGAAAGGAAATATCAGTCTGCTTATATCGCAAGTTCACAAGGAATTTAAAAGCAAAGAAAATACCAAGCAAATTCACCATATCGATATTGAAAACGTTTCGGAGTCCAGCTCCATCATCAGTTCGAAAAAACTAAAACTGAGGGAATGTCTGTCTTAGAATTTTGACTTATAATATGATTTTATTCATTTTTAGTTTTTTCGAACTGATGATGGAGCTGGACTCCGAAAAGTTTTCAATATCGATATGGTGAATTTACTTGGTGTTTTCTTTGCTTTTAAATTCCTTAAAGGAAATTTCATTTTATTTTGGGACAGGTAGTGTGGGTACTCTATGTGCTGTGATAGTGTTGGTTTCTATAAGGTCCAGTTTGCTCCATGGAAGAATCTTTGAGGACGTATGAGGTTTCGTATAGGATTTGCTGAGATGGTTGCGATAATGGAAATCTTGTCGGAGAGAGTGGAATGTGCTGGTTGTGGATGTATGTTATGGAATACTTTTTTGTATTTGACTCGGTCTATTAATTGTTTCAAATCTGAAGTACTCTGCCAATGAATCAGAAAACTGATACGTTGTTTATGTAATCCTAACTCACTCCCAATTCAAGAAAGACGTGGGGATTTCCAGGAGAGTAGAGTTGCCGGCGTAGTTGTTGGCCATGACGTACGCGGCCGACACTTTCGTCGACACGTTCCCGACCACCGCTGGGTCCACAACGAAGCGGCATGGAGCAACCTGTTCGAGCAGTAGAAAGCAGTTATGCCCAAAGTAGAACCAGAAATAAAGAGAAAAAACTGTTGGTCTAGTACGAAATACCCATGTCATAATGGATTATTTAAGATTTGCCTCAGTCATTTTCTGTAACTCATCTTCAAAGATAATTGTAATTTACGCATATCAAGTCTTGAATTTGAGGATAATGTTTTATGCTTCATCGCTAATGTTTAATGCTTTTATGGTGATGGTGCGCTACCACTAGAAAAGAGTGTAAAAAACCAGGTTGGGGCACAGAATTTCCAGAAAGAGAAAAAAAGAAAGACAGTGGAAGACGAGGAAAGGCGCATAGGTTTGATTAGGTTTATTCTGGGTGTATGGGTTTGGGGACGGAAGGAAGATGTAACCCTTCAGGGCTTTAGATGGCTTGCCTGAGAAGTGATAGCATGATGGTCGTTTAATATTCACAGTAATTACACTATCAAGTTTTTGAAAATAAGGAGGATATTTGCAATCATTATACATGCGTTTCGTATTTTTTAATTTTTTTATTTCCCCATAAGGATAATCAGGGGATTCACGGACACTTCCTGATTTGAAAGCTCAATAAAAAAGAACTAGTAAAGATATCATTAAAATTTAAATTTTATTTAAAGAGACATTACCTGAATTTTTGTATGACGTAGTTTCAATGATATCAGACAAATGACGGGCCTCATTATCAATGCATTCAATTAACCGATTTTTTAAGTTCTGTTCAACTCGCTGAAGCATATTAACGGGTATGTTGGCGATAGCTGTTACAAGTGTTGAGGTACTAACTTGATAACTAACTCGATATCGTTATTGGGATTATTCCTTAGGTTTGAACTTGAATTTGCGCTCTAGTTTCCGAATATTTTTTGTGGGACATAATAGGAACACGTAGCTGTTACAAGTGTTACAAAAATTCAAGTAATCACTTTTTAATAAAATTTATATTGTAATGATATCTTTATTAGTTTTTTTAGCTTTTAAATCAAGAGGCTTCCGTGAATCGCCCTGTATTTGAAAACAATTGGCAAAATCTATGAAGTATAGGAATCCACTCCTTACTTTAGTTTAAGCTATCACATCAGATTGGCCGTGATCCAAGCATATACATGGCACCAGTAGAATAAAATAGATATAATTTCTTAATAGATGAATATCATCTCCATATCCACCGACTTCATCTTGTAATCACAATGATAGGTGATGTGAAGAAACAGATTAGGCTAGCAGCAAATAGCAAAAGGGGTGTATCGTCACAATTTGCATAAACAGCTTATCAGGGTACCGATCATTTACCCCAAATATTACCCATCAAAATTGCCCAATTGCCCCCCAATAAAACTTGATCATTCACCTACAATTCTATTTCGACATAAAAATTTTGAGCACTGTCTTGCGATCATTTACCCACAATCTTACCCCCAATCATGAGTTAACGACCATTTACCACGATTGAGCACTCTTTACCCGAGAACTCAGAACTTAACCTAGAGCGGTTGCCCAACAAATACTTTTGTGGAATATATAATCGATTTAAATTTTTGACAAACTTTCCAGAACCGGGGTGCTCATCCTTATTGATCAACGCAAAACTATAAGATACTTTATACATTTCTTTACACCATTCTTGAAACTTTGCAATGGGCATATCACAAGCAATATATTCGCTGTGAATATTCTTCATATCGATGAAAGGTAACTCGAATAGAATTAATAAATTTGAATTCGTTCTAATGTTTGTCTTGGTAATATGTGATAGTCCTCTTCAAAAAAGTTTAGAGACCGTAAGTTCATCAGCCAATCATTGACGGCCTTTCAAGCAAAATCCGCCAATTATAGACAAGAAAAAAGAGCGTAATTAAGCAAGTTCACTTAGCGAATTTTCAAAGTATGGCCCCTGACCGGTTATAGTCTGCTTACCACCCATACCCATCCATACGGTACACATACTCATCCATACCCATCCATACCAATACCCATCCGTACCCATACCCATCCATGCCCATACCCATACCCATCCGTACCCATATCCATCCATACCCACACCCATCCATACCCACACCCATACTCATACCCATCCACACCCATACCCATACCCATTGTCATCAGCCTGCGCTCGCCGAGCGCACAACCAATTAGAACATTAGCCCGCGCTCGCCGAGCGCATCCGGCCAGCACTGCTCCAGCTCATGGTCAGCTATACGAACCGACCACAACGCACCATTATTAACAGCACGCAACGACTCAAGCCCACGAACGAAGACCATCGATTACTAGACGTTACCTCTCCATCACTGTAACCCCAAAAGGTCGACAGGCATCACCAATTCAAGCATCGAGTCAACATCCACATTCAGTATCAAGCTATATCTCAAATGTTGTGTTTTATTGCCCTCTTTTAATTTTATCAAAGAGATCAAATCAATAATTTTTCAATGTGTTTTATTATTTTTTCTATATAAAATGGGAGTTGATAAATCATCTAATGTAAGTCATTTTAAAAACATGCATTTAATACGAAAATCCTTTGGATTAATTTCTTAAGTAAAATGAAAGCAAGTATTGTCAGCATGAATCATTGTGAAGTTTGTAACACAGTAGTTAAAAACTTAAAGAAAAATATTGGAACTCAGAGGCATCGGAAAGCAATTAACAATTCAATCATATCAAATGAATACTTTAATTCAAAGATAGAATGAGTAATTTCCAATCGCGTGGTTCAAAACTTAAAAAAGCATGAGCAAACAAACGTCCATAGAGAACGTTAGAACGTTTAAATGATAGCATATTTACCAGTTCTTCCTTTTATTGTAATCTCACTCAAGAATATAACATCTGAAGTTATTAAAGTAATTAGGCAGTCAAAATTCGATAATATTAAATTACAGCTGAATTTGCTCGAGTTTTGTAAATACAAATTAGGCAGCGAGAAAACCTATAATACCGCTTGGTTCAATTCAAACAGGCTATAGAACATTCAGGGATTCAAATAAATTAAAATACAATTAATGGACTTTATGATAATATGATACATAGATTCGAAGAATTTACGAACAACTCTTCTGGATGGATAGTAAACAAGTTGCTAAACTTAACAATTGAATATAAACCTTAAAGAGGTTCTAGCTATACTGAATTACCTGAAAAACTGAGACATCCAAAATATAAGTTAATCAATATTAAAAACCAAGATAACATGTGCTTTAAGTAGACGGTCGCGCGCCATTTCTGCAGAGATGAAAAATTTGTAACAGAATAACGAAAATATTAAAGAAGAAAGCTGAAGAGTTGGATTTCGCAGATATCAATTTCCCTATGAAAATTAAAGACATCGATAATCTGAAAATAATAATATATCTATAAATGTATATAGCTTGAATTACTGTTTGGAGCTATGCCCACTTCGAATAACTAAAACTAAAAATAAATATGTGGTTTCATTATTGTTGATTACAAATGAGAATGGATGTCATTATGTCTTGATAAAGTCTTTAAGTCCATTTATTAATAAAGGGAGTCGTGAAACAAAATATGTCTGTCCATACTCCCTACATGCAATCATTCGCGAAGACCTACTTGGAAAACATTAAGATGATTGCTCTGTTCAGATACCCGTCAAATATGTTTTTGGTGATGAGAAACTAAAATTCAAAGCCTTTCGAAAGACTATCAAGCATCACTTTAAAATTTACGCTGAATTTGAAGCGACTTTGGTAGGTAGTGATTCATGTCAAGCAGACTTCAAGTCAAATTATACTCGGAACAATCAAAAGCATGAGCCTAATAGTTTCTGTTGCTAAACTAAATGAGAGGATGATAGGTACTCAATGTTGGAGTTATATAATGGTGAAGATGCATCGGAAAAATTTGTATAATATCTAGAAGCAGAAACAAAACGTGTATATGAATTATTAAATCAATATCCAAAAAAGATGTTCAGGCAATAAGTCCAGCAGCTATCTCAATCAATCGTCAGTTATGGAAATGTTGGGTTCCAAAGGCCGGATCCCTTGTGAATCAAGTCACGAAAAGTTCAAGAATCGGCAACAGGCCATGGGCCTATTTCTTCAACGCCGACACTTCTATTCTTGAGTTTGGGTTGTCGTAAGTCCGCGTTCAGGTTTTAGGATAACCACGGTTTCAACAACAAATTTCCTTTTTATTGAATGAAAAATTGTATCTGTAGGAACAAACATGTATATATTAACCCTATAAACTTCAATGTATGCTTATAATATTCAAATATAACAAATGATCATCAAAACTATAAACAAGTTATAAGAAAGTCATAAATCAACGCACCGAAATATTGTGGGCAGTTTTGACGCGAGCTACGAACAACTGATCTGACAAGAAACTATTTGACGTCGTTGACTAGGTTTTACACTCTAAAGGTCGGATAAACAAGTAAATCGTAGGAGCGCATAAAAATAGACTATTAAAAACTAAGCTAACAAAAGGTTCGCTAAAAATATTTACAGCTATACCAGAAACGGATCAAAACTACATAAGTTTCCCTAAGACCATCAAAGTCGGGACGTATATAGATAGAAAAACTGGAAGAGAGCGAGATATAACAAGAGACTTAAGATTCTTAGACACTTTCAGATTCATGTCCTCATCATTGGATGCATTTTAAAAAAATTTATCAGAGCATGTAGAATCGAAAAGACATTTCCCTATTAATGAGCAGTTTGAATTGATACAAAACAAAAGTATATATCCATACGATTACATGGATACCTATGATAAAATGAATTCAATTAGTTTACCAACGAGGGATGAATTCTATAACAAATTAAATGATAAGCATATATCTGACAAAGAATATGGACATGCTAAAGAAGTTTGGGATGTAATCAGATGCAAAACATTCAAAGGCTATCATAATCTCTATCTTAAAGTTGATACCTTGTTATTAAGTGAGGTGTTTGAGAATTTTAGAAATACTTGTTTGAAAACATAAAAATTAGATCCAGCCA